TAAAAAGGAAGCTCTAATCTTCAAATTTACGATTGAATCAGTTTGAGAAAAAAAGAAAAGAATTTACAAATGATTTCCTACACGTTCCAGGGTGTGGTATATTCGAGAACGAGCGTGTCTTTTGAAATATGCGTGAGATAAAATTGAGAATGATTTGAACGGATGCCATGGCTATCATGAAATCATGAAAAACGTCGTAGAAGGTTCGAACGCTGACAATTCGATGAACGATAAATTGCATCTTTTGTACGACGAAACAAAGGCGTACATTATAGAATTGAAGTAGCTGCGTTGAATCTGACATCTTATTTGCCGGTGGGACGATAAACGAGCGTCTGAATTTCCGTGCGAGGAAACACGTAATTGTTCCAATATATAATGCATACAGTCATGGTAGACAGCTGTTAGACAGATATGCATCTCCATGTATTAAAGTATACGAGGTTATTGATGTAACCTGTGATGCATGCACGGTGTTCACTTTTCTGTCTGCCAGTTCACCGGCTAGGATGATTCCGTGCAAGTGCATTAGCTGATTTCTCTGCATTTATAGCGACGCAGTTATCGGCGCTGCATAGAGTGCGGAGCTTTGATTATCCGCCATAAAACTTCAGATTTAAGTTAACTGTCTTCATGATAATGAATGGTTTTCTTATGAGAAATGCTTCACGCACGAACCGCTCACGATTGTGTACGTCCTTATCAGGGGAACGTACGACAGTAAATAACTATAATCTATGTTTTTTTTTTTCCCCCGACATCAATGTATCCCATAATTCGAGTCCTGATTAATACCATTTCGCAGTTTGTTATTTCTCCGGAACTTCGCTTGAAATATTTTGATATTGAAAATGGAATTTTCTCTGGCCATTTTTTAATGCCGCGCACATGGTTTTATCAGGTTTCGTAAAACGAAATGCGATTGCATGAAATTTGCTAAAAAATGTGCATCCTTTCAAAAAGTGGCAGAAGTTAAATATGCGAACGGTGGACAGGAATTGATATCGCGCGATCATAGATAATTGAAGTTAAATAAGGATTGAATAACAGATCAAATCGAACGTTCCTTTTTGAGAATCCGCTTTGAAAATCCGTAACGAGTATTTGCGTGTAAATAGCCGCGCGCTAATTTGTCAAAAGATATACAGAAAAATCCATTGAAGGGATCGTATCGCTTTGCAAATTCACTGATTGATTTCGCTGATTATTGCCGACGGAGATACATTTTTTTTTACAATTTTCCGATTTAATTGAATTTCTGGAATCAAATTGAATTGTTCTGGACAGCATTTTAATCTATAGCCGTACAAGCCATACAGAATTATAACATCCGACTGATAAATTGCGATAACCATTTGTCCGTCATCAATCTGCTCACACAGATGAAAAGCAGAAACGTCGGTGGAGTATGACGTTCGCCATTGTGATACAAAAATTCTTGCACTAACACGCATCATTGTTCAATTTCCAGTCGATTTTCGAAAGCGTTCTCTTTGCCAGGATGATCGGTATCTGGACGGAGTTTTTCGGGAACATATTCGAAACGATCGATAAACGTGTCGATAGAGAATCGGTTGAGCACCGACGGTGAATACTCGATTCCTTGAGAAGCTATTTATTCGAATTGCCTTTCGTTTGAGGATTAAGATAAGACTCGCGCACACCGTTCGTTGAATAAAACGTGTTTAAAACTAATTGACCTTTTAACTTCAATCCCGATAATACATTGATTCCGTAATCCACTGAAATCGTGGAATCAGGGATACTTCAGGAGAGTATTTTGATTTTTATCGCTCACGGTACTTTGATTAAGAGCCACCAGATAAGAGGATTTCTTATCCAATAATTTGTGGACTCATTTTACCAGTAATAATATTTAACGTCGTAAGCATATTATTGCTTCCAGCGCAACTAACTTTCAATCTTTTTAACCGTAACAGTTCACGTGAAAAATGTATTGACTCTCAAACGGCGGATTTCTTTGATAAACATGTAACTGTGACCGCCTCTCATTTTATTGCACTTCCACAGTTAGTTTTCATAGACAATTTTATATTTGATAAATGTAGTAGGTATCTTAGACTTATGCGAAGAGAAAAGAAATTTTGTTCATCGAAGTGCAATTACAAAAATTCTCATTTCAAAAATTTCAATTACCAGTGCAAAAATGACACGTCGCGTTTGCAACACGTTCACACGTCACATTTGCAAAACGGTTGCATCACGAAAGACTACACTCGATTTGTCAATAATATTAAATCTTTCACGAGATTGCACTTTCCTTTGACGGAATCGAAAGCTCGAACTTCTCGCAAACCGTCGATAAATATTGTGTGCGGTGCTTCTAGAAACTAACTATTAACGAATGATTCAATACGATCCTTAATTAAGTCCCGTCGCTGGCGAAGAAAACTTATGATCAGAAAAACTAATTTCATCTTTGAAATTCATTCCCGTGCCGAACTCGTATCACTCGAGAAGGTAAAAATCTACTGAAATAAATTAAAAGTAACTTCTTTGGACTTCTTCTCCTATAGAACGTCGGCAGAGATCGCAAAGATGGCGATCAAGCAATTCTACAACGTTTCAAGGGACCATTTCTTTTGAGTCATTTAACAGTTTCCAACGGCTGTCACACTTGATAGAAAGAAAGTTTCGGTCGACTATTTACGATGTTCGAATTCGTTCCATTTTTCATTGCCCCGCGTTTGCATTTATCGCTATCATTTTACGAAGACATTCTTGTAAAAATTCATTTCTAGAGGATAACCTTATTTTTATTGCAAATGTTTTAGTTTCCAAGATATTATCAAACAAAATGATATTCTTTGTCTTCTCTTGATTAGTCCATAGATATTGAAGTTCTTCTTAAATTCTGTTCAAGTCTATCATATTAGAATGTCATTTGTTAATTTATAATTCACGTAATATGTTGATAATTTTTATGACTATACTGCGGATTTTATGCATTTCTGAGAAAAATGAGTAGTTCAAATATAGAACAGTGGACATTTAAAGAATTTACAAATACTGTTATATTTTTATCAACTCATTAAAATTATTAATAAAAAAAATGTATATGGCTGCTGCAACTTGGAATTAATGCAGACAGTGTTTAGTTTGCATAAAAATCCGCAATTTATTTATAACTGTCTTCTGTAATCGCCAACAGTAAATTCGAACAATCAGAAAACAATGAAAAATTCTATTAAATAAATTTAATCCTTTCCTCGTTAAAGAAATCAGTTGATATAATTTTTGTTCAAGCAGTTCTCTACGAAAGCATTGCTCAGCGACAATCACCCCGGTACTTTTTAAAATGTTTATTTATAGTAATTAAATTAAACCCTCCATTACGTACATAACAAAAGATCAGGCTATATTGTCCATTTTTCCCCGTATTTAAGTTCTTCTAATGAGAGAAATATTTTTTTAGTATTTAAAAAATCCTCGTCTACAGATGTGAAACAATATCTCGTGCAAAATTTCCAAGATGATTTCGAAGCTTCCATCTCTTATAACACGGCCTCGCGTGTTCCGCGTTAATGGGTTCCCAGCAAACAGTATTAAAAAATCATTTGCCCCGCATCTTGCAGCGTTTGATCTTCCGCGGAACAATTACCGAAAGCGTGGAAACGATCGCGGGTTGGAAACGCGGGTCCAAACGCTATCGCCGCGATAATATTGATCCTTTTATACATTAAGGATCCAGGACGGCGTGTACGTGACCCGTTTCGCACAGGTTCCGGCTGCTCAGTATTTCCGTGGCGACTCGATCGTATAAAAACTATTCTAATCCTATTCCGCGGCGGTTCTGTTCGGCACAAAAGAACGAAATCGTGACGTCTCGGTGAGCCCCGGCGGAGAAACTTCTTTATTGTCCGCAATCGTCGCCTCGAGAGGATCCACGGCAGGGCACGGTCATTTAAACGGGAGGATCGTTCGAACTTCTGAGAGCGCACACTAGCTTTCGCGAAATCGAATAATGCGCGACGGCGTTTCTGCACTCGGCGTTTCTCTCTCCTCCATCCCGCTGCTTTTTCCCCCCTTTCCCACGATTTCTCTAATACTTTATCCGTGAAAGTTACCCAGCTTAAGCTCGAAACACGGGCGTCGGGCTCGATTTCTCGGCAGCGATTTCCGCGGCGCTCGAGAAATCGAGCGACGAGCGCTCTCCGCGAAGACGGATAGCTTTCCCTCGCTCGTCGTTCGAAACGGTCCTCGCCGTCGTTCGAAACTCCCGGACAAAGATCCGAACGAGCAGCGTTCCGATCCGTCTACCGATCCTTCGGATTCCTCCGATGAAACTGACCGTTCGATCGCGCGAAATATTTTGTCCTGCTCGCAAGAGAACGGCGGCCGACAAGCGCGTCACACCTCGTCGAGACAAACGGGCACCTCTCCCGACGACCACCGCCGAATAAATCCGTCGTCGAGAGCACGCTCGACGGTTGTTCTCGTCCATAACGGCGCGCGCGAGCCCTCGGCCGCGAACCGATCGGCTTCGACAAATCGATTTTGCGGCGGAATCGAAATTCTGCCGCGATACTCGCCACCCTTCTTTCGTCCCGACTGACGTTCCAATCTCCGTGTTTCGCACTTCGAAATCTCATTAACGATCGCCGACATCTTGATCGCGGCTGACGGCTACGCCGCCGACGATTCGCGGCGATCGAAATTTTCGCAGCACTCGGACATGAAAAATCGCCGGGTACGCGCGGCGCACTACAACTGCGACCGTTTAATGCCCGGCCGTGATTTATCGGCGATGGTAACACGGCTTTAGGGGATAAACACCACCCTAAAAACGGCATTAAGGCTCGTGTTGCTTTCATTCGGAGCATGATTGCTTCGGAATCCTCGATCGTACACCCAGCGAACTTACGATCCCGAAATCCTCGAGATACACTTGTGCGGCCGGGTGCGGGTTCGTTTCATTGGGAAATGATAATGAAGAAATCACTGTGTGGTTATATCCTGTGCGCACGAGGGTTCCTTACCGGTCACGAAAACGGCGAGAACGATGAAAAGCGATGCGGAGAGGGTCGGACGCGCTTCCCGATAGCTTGCGACACTTCTCATGATGTCTCCGCGTTTGTTTTCGTAATTACACACTCATAAACGCGTCCGGCCACGGATCACAGCTCCGCGTTCATATTAAGAGGATGATCCGGTTCCGTTCGGTCGTCGCACCTGCTCGTCGATCCATTCACCAGTCAACGGGGGTGACAACGAAAAGAAAAAGGAAAACACTTCACTTGAATCGGTCCCAGTCTCGTGCCCCGTAGGGTCGAGAATCCTTTCGGCAACGGATGCGTGTGTATGTATGTGTGTATGCAGGAGAACGAGAGAGAACAAGATAGAGATAGAGAGAGAGAGAATAAGAGAGAGAGAGAGAGATAGAAAGAGAGAGAACTCCGAGGGGATCCCGCGCGCTCGCCTTCGCGGTTCGCGCACCAGAGAAAATTAAGGGGAGCGAAAAAAAAAAAGATGAAGATAAAATTCGATCCGAAGATCTCCCTCTCGTCGGCGATGGCGCGCAGCGCGTCTCAGGACGACGTGACGACAAAGAGCTCTTCCGGTCGACGTACAAGCGGCTACTGAGGCTCCCGCCGCAAGCACGGAGAGCTTCCAGTGCGTCGACTCGGTCGTGCAACCCGAAAGCTCGCTTCTCTCTGCCCCTCGGCCCCCTCGGCCCTCTCCCGCGCCCTCCCATGCCTCCTACTCCTCGTCTCCCCCGTTGACCCCCCTGTCTCCTCGTTCTCTTCTTCATCCCCTCTTCGCCCCCTTCGTTTCGCCCCCTCGGCCATTTTAGCGTCGTCGTCGCGATCAGCCGCCCCAGTGCGGGCTGCGCGCGCGAGAGAGCTTTTGCGTCCTAAAGCTGGATAGCTCTCGGGGAAGGGGTGATTGATTGGCGCTGAAACTTCGCGACTGATTGAATCTTTTTTACGTTTCAATATCGGTATCCTCGAGTGGGATGTATGCCACGCTGAAACAGAGTGGCCGGATTCGACTGTACACGGGCATTAAGCTCCTCCGGTGATGGGGGGCACGATGCCACCCGGTCTTCTTGGACCCACCCGACCTGCTCACGAACACCGTGCTCTTCGGTGCTCAGTTCGATCATCTTTGACCACAATGGGGGCTAAGTTCTACGAGGATTACGCCGAATCGTTTCGATGCTCTTTCTTGAATTTGTAGGATCGCCCCGACACAATGCTCTCCGATACCCTCTGTATAATTATTTCTTCGCCGGTTTCGGGGAGGATGCTGACGAGGGTGACGACCGTTTTATGATTTATGGGCCTCTACTCGTGTTAGTTTTATGGTCCGCTCTGGGTTCGGGCGATCGCCCCATCACCGTGCTGGCTGCTTCGCTCTGTGTAATCTTTTCTGCACTGCTCCTTGCTAGCAACCAGGGTGTCTTCTTCCATGATTTGTGTTCAGCGAGACTTTCGTTGGTGTCTCCTGAATTTGTTGCGTTCCCGGCCACTTTGCACCCTCTATGACAATATTCAGAAGCTTCTGTTTCGTAATAATGATTGCAGTGCTATGTCTATACGCATTCGATCGAGTGGCATGAATAAAAGAAATCAAAGTAAATAAATTCTCTTCTTAGAAGGAAATGTTTGGCTTTCTCTTGTTGATATTCCCAGTATCGAGGGTTACCATTTTTTAATTCTAAATCTAGCGAGGTCTAAAAGCGACTAATAAAAATTGCCTCGTAAGAATTACGAGATAAAATCTATTCAAATTTGTCACAATTTCTATAATAGCGTGTGCCCGAATAAAGAAATATATTCAACAATTCCTAATGGAAGCAGCTTTATGGCTTCTATAATTATGAAATAAAATATGTGAAGCCTGTCATTTGATCGGCGATGGTAGGTTTAGTGTCAATGACGACAGCAAGATCATTCGTGAATCAGTAAGCATAGAATAACAATTATGATAGCACACTTATTGAACAGATTCTTAATAACTTAATAAATTGCTTCATAATCTCAAGGAAATGGTCGCTGATCCATTCGGTAATACACTCAGTAAATTAATAACCAGGAAATAAGCTGACGACGTTTCAAGTAGAAACAACCGTCAATGCACAAATGGAATGCCAATCGTGTTCCAAAAAGGAAACGCGTTAGACAGATGTTCCTATTCGATTCTATTGCGAACTATGTTCTCAGCCACCTTTCCAATATGATTATATTTTTTATATTTCGATATTATTACTACTGCATCGATCATTCATGTACTTCGAGTTCCTGCGACCGGTCAAGAAGCTCCTGGTGACAAAAGTCGCATGCAGAAGGTGCGTAGGAGAATAATATTTCATTCGTCCGTTTTCAATCTCTGTAATCCGTACACTATCTTCGTCAAGTGGTTCACAAAAATTCTCAGCATTAACGAAGCTCTACTTAGGACAAGCGTACACTGGTGCACGGCACTAAAAAGCGACAAGTCGGGGTAAAATAACCGTGTAATTTCTGCGTGGATATCATTTCTTTTACGACTGGAGCAACGTTTAGGGCAGCATAGTTAACAACGTTTCCACGGCACATTGTACACGGAACTGTGTAGACGTGGTGATTTTTAATTTGAATTGTGCACGCATTAATTTGGAAGTACAATTCGGACGTGTTCTTTTGTATTAAGAAAGTTACGCAGCTTATTCGTTTCAAATTCGACGAACCTGTTCGGTAAACGATTCGATGAATTGGACAGATTATTTTTTCGTCGAATGTTGTATTTCTAAATTTTATAACGAATTGCTCTTCCGAGCAGAGCGTTCCAAGGTTATCCTCAAACCCGTGAGACACGACATTTCGCTATAGGTCAATGTTGACAATAGCAGACTCCGCAAGCTCGTGGGCTTTCTCCCACTTCGACACGGTTTATTCATCCACTTTGTCTGCAGATGTTCCTTTGGTCTGTCATTAGATACTGCGTTATCTCCGCGCGCTTTATACATCCACAATATGTAGGCAACGCTCCGGGAGGCAAGCCCTCGTAAGAAGCTCTGTGCGTGGAGGACATGTCTATAGGCCATTATGCTTAACATAACCTCGGCTGCTGTGTCGTGATATTAACACTTTGCTGACAAGGGTTTTATTGAATGTTACAAATATTTCCTTCTGAGAATTACTCCATATGTCTCAGTCTCGAGTACTGGGAGTGAAAAGAATCTGCGCTGATCGTTTATTACTTTAACAATTAAGTTATCGAAGTCAACAAATTCTGTTCTCATGTGAACTTTCTTTCGAGCAATACGTGCAGCTTCAAAAATTTGTTATGTAACTTAATATAACCAATTGTAACACGGTCCATTTAAATCAGGTGTTATATGCAATACTTTCGTTTTTTATTTTCTTTTACAACATGTGTCTTTATATTTTATTTTGTTTATAACTAATGGGACTTGATCCCGTTTGCAATAAATAAATAAATACTTTTAACTAACACGGCGACATTTGTCTCCACATTCGCAACGCTTTATATTTATAACTTGAAATAGATTATATTTGTGACAAATGAAGGCATTTGACGAATGTAAGAGTATTGTTAGGACACGCATAATTTGTCAGAAGCTATCATTAAATTGTATTGACGTAGTTTGCGTATGTTATAATTATTGCAGAGAATTCTTGAATTGTATTTTAAATCGGCAGATTCAAGATCAATAGACAGCTTAAATATATTAATCTTCAATTGAGAACCGGGACGATTTTGGCAAGATTCATCCAATGGAACTACATCATTAAGTTAATAAATCAGCGACATAGGTATAGAAAAGGCAACTTGGGAAGTCTGATCCCAATTTCGTGGAGTTCCGTTAAGACCTCTGATTAAGAGATAGTCCAAGTCTAGATTTATGGGTCCTCAATTATTAGAGGAACAGCTATACCGTTCCTAGAGCGTTTGTCGTCCGAACAAATTTATTTGGACGTTAATAAACGATTAAACGTTGGCGAGATGTTAACTGTAAATTTTATTAATCGGGTAAATTCGAATGTCAGAGACCAAATGGCACGCTTGCGGGCCATGCAACTGGTCCAACACGTCCTATCCATTTATTTGGCCGAGGTGGAGTACAATAATCACATACGACGTCTAATATCTAGGGGGATTCCGAGTAGAAATTATGGTGAGAAAATTTGTAAGACAGACATAATGGAACGCTTCTGGTAACCCTGCGCGGAAGCGACTTCCCTTCAATTCATTAAAACAATACCGGTACGGGACGGGCCAAATAAAGTGCTGTAAACAGTTTTCTCTAGCGCACTTCCGCGAATAACTTTTTCGTAATTATATTCCACAGAGATTTTTCAACGATCAGAACGTGTTCTTCCAATTTTCTGAATGGAACACGATTCTTACGGATTTGAAAAAAAGAACATTTGCGCAGATTGAGTACAAAACAAATTTTCTGAATTTGTTGCAAATTGTTGAAACATTCTTCCTGTAATACTTTAATTGCCGTACCAGTAACCTCGAATAGATTATATAAAATTAACGTATTTTATTTCAACAATTTTTTTTAAAAAATTGCAAAGTTAAATAGTACGGCAGCAATTACTTTTGCAAAATTTGTATATTTTCGGTTCCTAATAGAATTAGGAAGGTACATTAGATTAGCGTGAAAATAAATTTTTAAATTTGAGCCAGAGTGGGGCATCATTCGAATCGTTTCGTATATATATAAATGTTCGTCTAAAATAATTATTCGAATGATTTCTTTTTAGTCGAATATTTTATTCGAACAAATTAGTCTGTTTATTGGAATAATTCTTCAGTTTTTATTCGAATGAATTATTCAAATATTAATGCGAATAATTGTTGACGGATTTGTTACGTAATTTATTTTCCAAATTACTTTCTGTGCAAATTAATTTTCATTCGATCGGATATTTATTCGATATTGTCGAATAAAATTTTATTCGTTAATTCTCATCTCTTATCCGTCATTCGAATAAAGTTTTGCCCATCTTTGATTTGAGCAAATAATTTCGTCACCCACATATGGGTGACGCGACAGTCGAAGTGTTATATTTAATCATTTAAATCTATTCACCGTCTCAAACTGCATCTTCTCGATATCGACGCGAATGCATAAAATTCGCAGTCTACTTGCAAATAATATTAAATATATATTTAGTGCAAATTGTGATTCAGTTCACTTTGCAGAAACTTTTCGCACGCAGTATTCCGATTTCTGATTCTCAGCTTTCGCTTTTGAGCACTTTTTTCCCACGCATTACTCTTCTTAATTAGCTGCAGCACAGAGTTAGTGATAGGTCAGCGCGGTATACAGCCAGTTGCATTGTTTGATACTTCCTCTATATCTTCCAGTGCATACTCCAGGTGTGTATTCTTTTCAAATCTGTTTTGTAGAGTATCGCTGGAGCTCGGTTTATATCCGCACACATTTCGCGGCCACATCCCTCGCAGCACCTCGCGCCCTCATATAAGTCGCGAATATACTTGCTGGATTATTACCATGCTACTTTCACCTCGTTTTCAGCAATTTTCACCGTTTCTTTGTTTGCTGTCTCTACGTTCGTCGTCTCCTTTATTCTACAGCCTGTCCTTTATTTTTTCGGCATTTACGAATCCTTTACGTTC